TTTTTTTTTTTTTTTTTTTAGTTTGAGTTTTATTTGAAGTCTAAGTTTTAATTTTAGGAAAGTTGTGGATATCATGTGACTTTTAAACTAGGATTTAGAATTAGTAGCTTATTAGGAGTTCATAATTTATTAGAAGTTCAAATTAGAATTGAGTTAGGATTCTTGGCTATTGTTGGTATTTATAGTTATTCTTCTTAGAATTCAAGAGCAGTTTTTGTTATGAGATTTTAATTTGAGAATAAACTTGAGGTTGAAAACCTAAGTTTTCTTGGTTCCATCTTTAATTTTAGGGAGTTCTTAGTTTCTGTTTGTTGTACCCTTACCTTCCCTGCATCATTAATCATACTCTTTTGTCACATGCATCTGACTGTTGATTGATTATGGTGTTCTGTGCTCTTCATGCCAGGTAATGCCCCTTTTCTACCCCTTTATAAAAAAGACAATCCATAAACATGAAGAAGAAACTGCGGTTAAGTCATTTGTACTTTTCTTATGTTGAAAATTTTGAAAGAAAACTTTCAAGAAGGAAATTAAATCTAATTGTTTGTATGTGTTTCCTCTCAGCAGCTCCTGCTGGTCTTCTCCTTTTATTAAGTTGTTTCAAAAATATTTGTTATTATCTCATTTGTCTGTCTTTTTTTGAACAGATCTCATTTGTCTGTCTTTTGTTCATGATTTAGCTTTATATTTCACTCATAGCCATTTATTTTTGGTTCTCTCTGACATGTAGCTAAGGGAGATGAATATCATGTATTTAGAAAGAAAGCCAATAAGCATTGGAATTTTGCGGGATCTCGTTATGAGGAAGTATGATCTTTGTCACCTTTTATCTCTCTAGTAAATTATGAAACTTAAAATTTTGTACTTGACAAGACATCTTATGATAAAAGTGGCATTCTCCTGCAGGCTAAAGTGGCTAATTCAAAGGGGGAAAGGCGAAATGCAGCTCACCTATATGATCAGGTGCATGTTCTACTTTGTGGAAGAATGTCCCCGATATAATCTTTACTGAATTGGGTGATTCAATGCATTTGCCTGTTTTGTATTTTTTTCCATGACATCATATTGATATCTTATGCAATATTTTGGTAACAGTCTCTTCAGAATAAATGCTGCATGATATTTATCTTGTATTTATGTAGGGGAAGATACAAGCTAAATTGGCCCGGGCAGCTGATGAGAAAGCTAGCCAGGATATATTTAAAGCTATGTGAGTGCCTTATTTAACCAAAGCCATAGCAGAAGTGTTCCTTCGCTTTGCCTCTGCCATCTATATGCTAAACTGACCCGAGCTATTTGTTCTACTGCAGGAACGAATGCATTGAAAATGAGATAGAAATTGATTTGCATGGGCAACATTGCAAAGAAGCAGTGAATATTTTGAAACAGCGTCTCCCGTGTGGTGGGACTCATCTGGCTTGTGAGGATTAGCTAGACTTATTTCTGTATATGCATCTGTGTATGCAATGTCTTATTATTTAATTACTTCTTTTTCCCCAGCAATTCGAACTCTAAAGGTTATCACAGGGTATGGGTCGCATAGTGAAGGGAAAGCAGTACTGAAACCATCGGTATGAGTTTTACCCATCCCATTAAGCCAATATGAATATAGATTAAATAGGAAACTATGCAAAGACACCAAATTCCTCTGACTTTTTAACAGTTTATAGCCAGTTTTCATCTTTATTGCACAGTCTGGCATTCATCATGCTGTTTCATGCATGCAGGTAATTGAGCTTCTGGACAACGAGCGTATTGAGTGGAGTGAAGAGAACCCAGGAGCATTGCTTATCAAGCTCGATGGTCGCAGGAAATTTAGCTTCCAAGGTACAGACAGTGATAGTAAGTGAATTATCTGTAACGATGTTAAACATTGAATACGGTCTTGTAGGATTAACTAGTGTATGTATCACATGTTCATTGCTATATCCGTTAGTCAGGTGAGCTGACTGCTTAACTTTACATATTACATGCAGGTCAGAACTTTTGCTACCCTCTTTAAGGAAATGTCGAACCTATAGATGCTTGTACCTTATAAAATGCTGGTCTGTTGTACCTTATAACTTATAAGCAGTTATGGATGAACTGGGTTTGGAGTTGTGGTGTATCATGTACTTGTAATTTTCATACTGTTCAAAAAAAAAAAAAAGAGGCAGTTATGGATGTCTTCCCTTTGCTATTAATTTGCTTATTTCTGTGGAAAATATTTTTCGTTTGTATGGTCAAGATGTCTTCACACTCTTTTGTACCGTACGCATTTTGAGACAGCATTTTAATTTTATTGAACAATCTTGCAAAGCACTCTGACTACGGAGGTACGGCATATCCAAACTGAAAACGTAAGCGA